CCCAGCTACTCGGGAGGCTGAGGCAGAAGGATTGCTTGAGCCCAGGAGTTTGAGGTTGCTGTGAGCTAGGATGACGGCACGGCACTCTAGCCCGGGCAACACAGTGAGACTCTGTCTCAAAAAAAAAAAAAAAGAAGCACTTAACAAATACCTAAGTCATCATGAGAATACCTTATATGATGAGCATGTTGTGCAGAGTGGTAAAGATTATAATGATGAAAGAGACAGTCCGTGGTGTCCAAGAGATCTCAAACTTGCATGTCTAATATTGGCAAATGCTCCAGGTTTTATACTGGGGCACTGAGTGAGAAGAAGTAAAGCATCGTATAATACCAATAGTAAGAAAACCAAAAATCCAACAGAATCAAAGGTGAAAATAGCTTAGTCAGCTTGAGTGAAAATAGGGTAGGTCTCTGGAGAAAAGAATCAGTATCAGGAGAGAAATTGCAAGTCTATGGAAAATAAAATCCTGTGGCAAAGGCCCGTAAGTTTGCAAATGTGCCAAATAAGGAAAATGTGTAAAAATTTGAAATTTCACATCAATAGTGTATGGGAATACAAAATTATTTACTATGAATGGTTTGGAATACATGTGGATAAAAGAAAATTTTAAAACGGTGCTGCTCAATTGCACATAAAATTTGGCATTGTCAACAAAAAAAGCCTATCTGAAGAAGATGACATGATGGCACTAGTATGTCCTGAAAAGAAAAGTCACCAGACTCCTCGCTTTTGTATCCATTATTTGTTTTTGTTGTTACAAAATGAGTTTTAGAATTAATAGATACTAAGCAAACCATTCTCTAAATACCTTTGTAAAGAAAGGCCAATTATATTTTACTTCACTTGTTTGACTTATGGTACTTAATGCACTAAGTTTCTATTATTGATCATGTTGACTTTGTTTTATTCAAGCCACTATTAAATTACTAGGAAAAATAAAAATCAAAAGAATATTACTTTGGAATAAAAAATAAAGACTATTACTTTGACATAAAAAATAAGATGGATTAATGCATGGATAGAAGGATGGATAAATGTGTGAAAAAACAAATGTAGAAAACATAAATTGTACAATCTAGGAGTGGGAATATGACTATTTAAAAGTATTTCAAGTTTTCTGAATGTGTGAAAATTTTGATAAAATTTTGGAAAGAAAATGCAAAAAACTCAAAAGGACTAGAAATTTCAGTGCTTAAGTTAATAAACAGCTTAATTTCCTAAAATGATTTACTAGAAACTTTGTCAGTGTACAGGGTAAAATTAAGAAAATGTTACAGAAACAAAAGCTTTGCATTAAAAATCTCGTTTGATTTCTAGGTAAAGGATAGAATCACACATGAATAGCTATAGTAATTGAAAATATCCATTTATGCAGAAATACTTTTTTCTACCATTACATTGGTGTTATACTTTCTTTGCATCTGGATGTTCTTGTTAGGTAGATGTCACCTGTGGGCTCAGGTCCATTTGGGAAGACCACAGCTCCCAAGACGGCCAATAAAACAAGGTTTTTTCTCAGATCTACACTAGCACAGCAACATATGACTAAAACATCAAAATTATATGGAGCCAACCAAATAAATATGGCAGTAATTTTTACATCTAGTCAGGAAAAAGTTTTCTGTGTTTTCTTCTAATCTTGGTCCATCCTGTTTTAAATATTCTCTCCTTTTGAAGTCAAATTAGAATTTTCAGTGAGCCTAAAAAAGTCCTCATTGGTTTAGAATTGATAAATTTAGGAGCACTGCTTTTCCTATCCACAGCAAATAGCTCTTCCTAGTCAGTTGATTAGTAGCTCCACTGAATTACTTTGCAAGGATTTCTTCTCACATTCAACACTGGGCCTGCGACATTTTCCAGAACTGCAAAGCTGCAGATGCCTAAAGATGGTATCTTAGTAATTTCATTATTTCTAAGCAAGCCTAGATCTCAGAAATCCCAGACAAGTTGATGCTGATCCTTTAAAAAAAGTTACATACAAAGGAAATATATCGGCCAACCTCCTTTAGAAACAGGGTTAAATAACCAGTTGGAAAATTTTCTAAAGGTGTCACATTAAACTTTAATAATACCTGCAATTTTTATGGGGCTTTTAACTTTGCAAATTGCTTTCACATGCATTATCTCATTTCATGTTCTATTGCAATGAAACAGTGTCTAGGCTATAGGGCTGAATTACAATGACATAGATATCAAAATGTTGACAGGAACATTTCAAAAAAAATTGATCATCAGTAGGCTGAGCAGAAACATTTAACAGGAATTGATTGCAGATCAATCAATCAGATTGAATTACAAAGAGTTAAGATTCTGATAGGTCCCTTAGCATTCTGCTTTGCTACTTGAGGGTTATCAGAGACATTTTGCCTCTTTTTTTTCTTTTTTTAAGGAGAAAACGTCCTACTTCCTTTTTTCTTCTCCCCTTCATCCTTTTTTCTGATTTTTTTTTTTCTTTACAATAAATCTACAGGTCAGCCCCACCCCTGGGTGCATCCGCGCTCTCATGAAGATGCTGTACTGCCCATACTGCCGGGGACTTCCCACTGTGAGACCCTGCAACAACTACTGCCTCAACGTCATGAAGGGCTGCCTGGCAAATCAGGCCGATCTCGACACGGAGTGGAATTTGTTTATAGGTAAGAAGCGTCTAAAAACACACCAAAACAGAGGTGGGAGAACAGTGAGTGTTTATGAGTCTTGATGGGCAGGTTGGAAGTTAGGATGATTTGTACACTCTAGGAGGATTATAAAAGCACAGCTTTTAGCCAATTGTAAACATTATTTTGCATTTTTTCTTCTGTTTTTATCCTGAAAAAGAAGACTTTCTTGTGTATGGTATGGGAAAGTCTTGTTAAAGTTTGTATAAGCCGGCTGTATTGAATCAGCTGATCTCTCTGATGAAGATAAAAGTCATCTTGTTGCATTTCAGTGAGCTCCTATGAGAAGGGACAAGTTAGAAAAGAGTCTTGTAAAAAAAAAAGAAGTCACAGTACTGTGTTGTTGTTTTTTTTTTTTATTTGTATTACCTTAACATAGTCACAGGTATTAGTAAATGACTCTTTCCTTAAACTTCTGGAATGAAAATAGCTCAATATTTTAGCTAAAATATGCAAATTTTCCCTCTTATTCTGTGGAAAAGAAGGATTGAAGCACATAAGCATGCAACAGTCTCCCAGTCTGCAGAAATGGGAGGAAGGGAGGTAGGAAAAAGGCAGGGAAGGTCCACGAATCCTGGCTCTGCTCTTGGGTTGCAGAAATCATTCAGGGAGTTGCATCGCCCAAAGATATTTCTCAAATTGCTATCCAAGGATAAAAGGGCAGATTTTATAGGCAGGCTTCTCTTAGGAAAATACACAGGCCTTGAAAGAGTAAATGTGTTTTCTCCCCCTCTGTCAAATGGCCGTCAAATAAAAGTACTTTCAGTTGCATTTACCGCAATTACATAGTGACAAGCAGAGTGGTGAAAATAGCAGTGGCATTTGTCAGCCTCAGAGGTCCTCCGTCATTTATGCAAACCTCTAAACCAGAATGCACGAGTAATGTGTTCTGACATCTAAGATTTGGTAGGATAGGAAAAAAATGTAAGATGTGTTCGAATTCAGAGAAACCTAAGCTCACTGCTCCAAGATGTGCTTATGTTACAGATATTCAGCTTTGGCAATGAAATCCATTGGCTAATTGGCTATTTTGCTTAGGAAGGGCCAGAGGAAATGGTTTTGAAGTTAAAGAAAAAAAAAGATTTTAGAATGGGCAGATTCAAATGGAAGTCATCTAACAAAATCTCAGAATCCTTTCAGAAAGAACAAATTGAAAGGCTGTTCTCTCTCCCTGCAGTGGGAGGACAAAATCTGTTTGTATGATCTTGAGTTACTTTATTTGAAAAATGAAAAAATGAAGGAGCTTAAAAAAGTTAATCATTAAGGTACCCTTCTAACTCAAAAGTGACGTGATTCTTTACTAACATTTTAGTTCTTCGCTAAGATTTTTGAAGGGGGTACGAAGAAAAAAATAAGAATAAACTTGATCTTCTGAGACATAAGAGTGATTTTATGACAAAGACAAAACACCCAAATAATAATAAGGTAATAAAAAGGTACTTTCATCAAGAAATCTAAAAAGATTTGCATATTTTAAAACCAGATTAACTCTCGTAGCATCACTTGGAATCATATAGATTTTTGATACTTTTTCATTGAAACTGACTTAATTCCTGGCAAAATTCAATTGCCTTTGGTCAGCCTTAAAGTTATTGATAAAGTGGGCACGTGGATTCTGTTACTTAGAACAGTACATCATTGAGAATGAAGAGTATAGGCTTTTTAACTTGTCAGAGCAACAGTGACTTCTTAACTAGCTTTTTGTCTTCAGTGCTTGTTGGTTGTTTTAAAGGAAAACAAATCCTTATGCTTTCGATCAGTTGGATTTCCTAGATACCAATTTGATGTGTAATTGAATGTCTGGAAAATCATTTGACTTAAAAACTAAAATTTGAACCTACCACGTATTGGATTTACTTTGATGAAAAAAGTGAGCCCTGTGTTTAGTCCTACAGGAATGCATTTCATACCCTTTCTTCCCTTATCTCTTTTTTTATTAGTCCTAGAGGTCTCTGAGAACATTTCTCCAGTTTTCTTTCTCTTGGTTCTGGTGTGGCATTGAGAATTGACCACCAACATGGACGTATGGAGCAAAATATGTTCTTGCTAATACTTGTCTGAGTGTGAAATGTTAGTTCTCAAATTTATTGCGTGAATTAGTCAAATGTGCCAACTCCATTTTCCACACAGATACATCCAAGATGACAGTGTTACAGTGCTCATGAATGCAGTGGCAAAGATCAGTGAGCAAATCGGTAATCCAACAAAAATTATGTGTAATAGCCCTCTCTCTGGCTAGCACCTGCAGCCCATCACTCTTAGGCTCCTAGGGTCTCTTCATCAAACCCTTCGCTCCCATTGCTGTCAGTTGTGCTTTCTCTGCCCGCTGCATTAATGTCCCAGCGTATACATTTTGTAGATTTTTTCTTTAACTAGTATATGTCCATCTAAAATGTTAACAGTGATATGCAATCAACCATCAATAAAAACAGAGTCAAATTGGTGACACATCCTCATGATCTTTACAATGCCACAGATGAATTGCAAGTGATCAGTGACTATTTAGAATTCAGCCGGTGTCTGGATCATGTAAAAAGAAAGGCAGTTCATTTATAACGTGAAATGTTTTAAGTGCTCAAGTAAAAACCCCAGTGATAGTCCATCCTCATCTGAAGTTCTTTACTTTTGGGGTTTTTTAATCTTCAAAAAAAAAAATAAATAAGGAATCTATTCAGGATGCATTTTCATAGTTCTCCTCCAAGAAGTTTAACTGTTCTCTACACAGAGGAGGTGCTCAAAAGATTCTTATCAAGTAACCATTGTAAGAAAAAGGAAGAACTTCACTTTTTACTTTTTTTGATAAGTTGCTGACAATGTTGAAGATGCTACTCAATCCATTTTAGAGTACTTGAAAAGCCTTGGTTCACCTCTGGCAGACCTGTTCACCTGCTTTCTGGCAGCATGTGGGATTTTGCAGTACAAAGCACAGCCTGGCTTTCACTTGCCACATCGAAATGAATGGGTGTGCCTCACAGCACCCCTGCGCTCGGCAGGACCAGAAGGAAGAGGACAGTGGTTTTCATCCTGTTCTAACTATTAGACACTATGTGGGGCGGTAGGAGGAAAACCTAATTTGAGCCACTGACACTGTCTGCTTAGGCACTTATCCCAGGTGTTGCCGTATATTCATACACAACTTATCCCAGCCTGGCTTTTGAATGCTGCCTAAAATGCAAAATGGTTTTCTTGAAAAATATGTATGTTAAATTAAAATTTCCTAGAAGGACAAACAGTTTGTGGCCAGAAATCATTTCAGTAATACCCTGTGGTTATTTTAAGTGTTTGGTATTGATACCAACACTTCACAGATAAGAATTGTTCTATTTGACAAGAGGCCACATTGCAGATTACACCTAGCTCGTGAACACAAAAGTCAAGGCTGGAATTACATTTATATAGCTGTAATAAATCCTACATCTACTTTAAAATCGAGGTACCTCCAAACATCTGGTACCTTCTACGATTTTATAGACTATGAGAACCAGAGAGAGATTTTAAAAAGAGGTTACCGGTGTAGGGAGGCAAAGGTTGGTGAGACAAAAGGCAGGGATTCTATTTTATTGTGTACTGCTTTTTATCACTAAAATGTTATAGAATGCTTCTAGCAGCAAGCATAAAAGTGAGACCTTAACGTGCTTTTGTCCCAATTACGTAACCTAACTTTTTAGGCTATTCCAGTTAGTAAAGACCCTAATAATCTTACCATATTAATCCAACTCACTATATTGAGAAAGCTAGACACATACATTGTTTTGCCCTCTGGGAATTTAATGTAGTTAAATTAATTAAGTGTTAAGATAATAGAAGCACAGGATGCTATGTGTTTACTCAGCAGGAGAGCTTAACCTAGTCTAGGGGGTCAGAGAAACCCTACTCTGATAAGTATAGAATAAAATAATAAATAAGATTGTATTGAATTAGCATTGTCACATATAATTAATGTTGAACAGCTATAGCATATATAATTGTTACAACACAGTCCCCAGGTATTTCAAGTTCCTATGACAACTTCAATACTGGTCGGGTGGGGAACCTGCAGCCTCAAGGCTACATGTGGCCCTCCAGATCCCCAAGCTTGACCCCTCGATCAAATCCAAACTCCACAAGACAAATCCTTTTATTAAAAGTCTTTGTTCTGTAAAGTTTGGATTCAGTCAAAAGGTCGCACTCAAGGATCCAGAAGGCCGTATGTGGCCCTTAGGTCGCAGGTACCCCATCCCAAAGCCATTTGTTTTATTTTTGACGTATTTTAGGATCAAGTCTCACCATCCCCACTACCACTGCCACTGCCTTGAACTGATGAGATTTGGAGAATTTACGTTATTAACTGATGAGATTTGGAGAATTTACATTATTTTTCATAAGGAAAAAGTTGAGTTCCAGACCTATAGATACCCTCTAATGTGGGGAAAAAAGGCCAGCAGAGGCCGGGCGTGGTGGCTCACTCCTGTAATCCTAGCACTCTGGGTGGCCAAGATGAGAGGATCACTTTAGCCCAGAAGTTTAAGACCAGCCCGAGCAATAGTGAGACCTCATCTCTACTAAAAACAGAAAAATTAGCCAGCTGTCATCGCACACACCTATAGTCCCAGCAACTTGGAAGGCTGAAGCAGGAGGATGGCTTGAGCACAGGTGTTTGAGGTTGCAGTGAGCTATGATGATACCACTACACTCTAGCCAGGGCGACAGAGTGAGACTGTCTCTGGAAAAAAAAAAAAAAGCCAGCAGAGCAGCTTGTATTTTTAACTTAGACCTTGGATACTCGTAGACATGACAAACCAATGATATCAAACTTGCTGGGCTTTCTTCTTCCTTTCAAACTGACCAATTATTAAGTTTCCAGACAGCCCAAAGACAGAAAACTAGCATGAGAGTATCAAACATGAAATCCAAGAAGGCACTACATCTGTGTCAGGCCCACGAAACCCTGCAAGGGGTGCTATTCATTCCTTCATTTATTCATTAATCCAACATGCGTT